AACCGAGTGATGATCTTCAGCAAGAGCTACTGTCCGCACAGCGCGCGGGTAGGCGGGGCTCGGGTGTCCACCCTCCGTGCCCTCTTCCCCTCCCCTTGCCGCCCCGGGGCGCCGCCCGCAGGCCCCCCTCATGGGAGGGCACCCCCAGCCCAGCCAGGCTCGCCCGGTTCCAGCACCTCCACCCGTTGGCGCCCCTCGCCCCATCCCGGGTCGAGCGCACCCCTGGACTGCACCGGGCGCCAGCATCGCTTCGGGAAGGCCAGCACCCGGGGGTGCGATCGCGCGCGACTGACTGCAGGATGCGCGGGCGGAAAAGCCGCTTGTGCCCTTGACGCTTCCCGTGCTTCGGCACCCCGCGGAGCCAGGCTTTCCCTTCCGAAGGGTGAATTGAGGTTTTTGCAGAATGTTCTCGGTACGGGGGCCCGTTGGTCAGCCCCTGGCCCTCTTGGCTGTTGACCCGGTTAACTTTTTGATCCAGTTAAAGGTTAGTGCAAGCCCAGATTCCAGTCGCTTTATCCTACTTTGTTGGCCTTGACCTGGCGACAACATTCGGTGGATCCCTGGCTTTCTGAGCTTTTAAAGGAAGCAAAAGACTATCTGTGATGAGATGGGTAGTTTCAGCTCTGTGGCCCACGCCCTTTAAGGGGCCAGGGAAAACACGGACTGTGGGCACCTGTGCCCTGATCGTAAACACAGCCACTTAGGACCTTTGTAAGGTAACCTGCCTCTAAGATGGAGACTTATTATTTCGAAACTTAACAATGTCCAAATAATGATCCATGGAAAATAACTAGCAAAAGCATGAACGATTGGGTTAGGCTAGTAACAAGTTGTGTCAAGTTTTGCATGATTACTTTAGAGGAATGTGGCTTCTGTTGGTTGACATGTTCCATAGATAGGTTAGGTCTAGTTGGTTATAGTTTTGTATCTTTTTTGATCTTCACCTTCATTTTATCCTTTATTGAAAGTGGTATAGTGAAGTCTTCAACTATCATTGTAGATTGTTCATGTCTCCTTTCAATCTAAAGTGTGTAGACAGCACAAAGATAGTTGGACCCTAAAAAAGAACTTGGATTGTTTAATTCGTTCACATTTAATCTCGATGGATTTGGATTTCTGACTACCATTTTGTTTTACTTTGTTATTTGTTTTTATTTCTTGTGTTTTCTGATCTTCCATTCCTCATTTTCTGTTGCTTTTATATTGCATTCCAGCATAATATTTTAATCCATTGAATTTTTTTAGGGGGCTTTAAAAGGTTCCTGTGAAATTTTTATTATCTTTGGTAATTTTTTAAGTAGTTTCTCTAGCACTTGTATACATCTTAACTTACCCGTGTGTGCTCCAAATTTGTACTAACTTTTGAATTTTATTAACTTCCCTCTGTGTTCCCTCTTCCCCTGTTACCTGTATCACATCTATATAGGTTGCAGAGCAAACAAACAAAGCCTTGCCATGATCATCATCGTACATGATTTTATGTCTTTAGAAGACCTAGAAGAGAAGCATAAATATTGATGGAGACTAATGTATTCGTTTTCTTATTCACCACATATGCATATCTTTATTTGTTCTTGTGGATTTATGCTACCATCGGCTATTATTGTCTTCCTCTAGTACAACTTTATTCATTCTCACCTCCTTGTGCTGTTACAGTCAATGCAAAACATTTTGAGGAGCTGCAAAACTGCGTTCTCTACTCCATTTTTGGATAGGTCATTTTGCTGGCTGTAAGTCTTAGGTGACCACCCCCCACCCCCCACCAGCACATTTTATGCTTCATCCCCTTGCCTTTGGTGCCCATTGATTCTGATAAGAAGTCAGCTGCTAATCTTCAGGTTCCTTGTATGCAGTGAAACCGTTTTACTGGGCTGCTTCATTTTCACGATTTCCTGTTGGATGAAGCATTGTCATAATACTTTCCTTTGCTTCTTTAAACCTAGTTTAGTTTCATTCATTTAAAAAATATCATTTTATTTGGGGCTCTTAACAGCTCTTATAACATTCCATACATCA